AAAGCCTGGCGCAGTGGCTCACACCTGTCATTCCAGCAATTTGGAAGGCAGGGGCAAGAGGATTGCCTGAGTCCAGGGGTTCGAGACCAGCCTGGGCAATTTGGCGAGACTTCATCTCTACAACAAATCAAAAAATTAGCCAGGCATGGTGGCATGCCTTGTGGTTCCCACTATTTGGAAGGGTGAGGCAGAAGGATCACGATCACTTGACCCCAGCAGAAGGAGGCTGCAGTGGCTGTGAATGTGCCATTGCACTCCAGTCTGTGTGACAGAGTAAGACTCCGACTTCAAAAAAAGGGGGGCGGAATCCCACCTCATCCCATTTTCTAAGTGTAAATTCTTTTTTTAAAGAGGTGGTATTATTTGCTGGTTATTTATTTTTTGGTACAACCAGTAAACAGTGTGGTAGTACTGTTTCCCTAACAGTAACAAAGTTCCCAACTTTGTTAATGTGCTATGAAAGATGGAATAATTAAGTATGCTGTGTATATGAAAAATTGTGAATTGGTGGGATGCATGTAACAGCATATCAACATCTGAAGATACCGGTACTTGATAGCCTCTTAAGGAAAATTTGCCTCCAAATTTTAAGCTGCAAAGTCACTGGAATAACTGTTTAAAGAAAGAATTGCAATACATGACTTTTTAAATTTTTAGTACATAGCTCTTTTGTCTCGGCCGCCACCATGCCATCCAGACTGAGGAAGACCCAGAGACTTCAGGGCCACGTGAGTCATGGCCATGCTCACATCAGCAAACACCGAAAGCACCCGGGAGGCTGTGGTAATGCTGGTGGCTTGCATCACCACAGGATCAATTTCAACAAATATCACCCAGGATACTTCGGGAAAGTTGGTATTAGGCATTACCATTTAAGAAGGAACCAGAGCTTCTGCCCAGCTGTCAACCTTGATAAATTGTGGACTTTGGTCAGTGAGCAGACAAGGGTGAATGCTGCTAAAAACAATACTGGAGCGGCTCCTATCGTAGATGTGGTACAATCGGGCTCTTACAAAGTTCTGGGAAAGGGAAGGCTCCCAAAGCAGCCTTTAATAGTTAAGGCCAAATTCTTCAGCAGAAGAGATGAGGAAAAGATTAAGGGTGTAGGGGGAGCCTGTGTCCTGATGGCTTGAAGCCACACAGAGGAAGGTTCATTAAATGCTAACGAAAAAAAAAATTTCAGTACATATGTTAAGAATTGTGTACAAATTGAAATGTCTATGTACTGATCGTCAACACAACCAATATACTCAAAATAATGAAAGACTGTTTCAAAGCACATGGGAAGCCAAGCTCGATTGGCTCAGCCTGTAATCCCGCGTTGTGGGAGGCTGAGGTGAGTGAACTGCCTGAGCCCGCAGGTTCGAGACCGGCCTGGACAACTTAGCGAGACTTCATCTCTACAATAAATCAAAAACTTAGTGTGCGACTATAATTCCAGCTACTTGGAAGGCTGAGATGGAAGGATTGCCAGAGCCCAGCAGGGCGAGGATGCAGTGGCCAGGAGCGGCCACTGTACTCCAGTCTGGGTGACAGAGTGAGACTCCAACTCAGATAATAAAAAAATGAATAAATAAAGCACATGGGGAAAAAAATTAAAAATAAAGTATAAAGTTTTACCCTAAATCTCAACCCTCTCATTTGCTGATGAGAGCCTGCATATGGCCCTACAAGACTCAAATCCTTCCGACAACTATCATCCTCAAACTCTTCTTCTAAAACTTAACAGTATGCATACCTTTTCTAAATTTCTAATTTCTCCAAATTGTTAAGATATTCTGAGCCGGGCTCGGTGGCTCGGCCTGTAATCCCTTGCTTTGGGAGGCTAAGGTGAGTGGACTGCCTGAGCCCGCAGGTTCGAGACCCGCCTGGGCAACTTGGTGAGACCTCATCTCTACAATAAATCAAAAAATTAGCTGGGTGTGGTAGCACGCACCTGTAGTTCCAGCTACTTGGAAGGCTGAGGCGGAAGGATCGCCGGAGCAGGTCGAGGCTCGGTGGCCGGGAGCAGCCACTGCACTCCAGTCTGGGTGACAGAGTGAGACTCCAACGCAAAAAAAAAAAAAAAAAAAGGTATTCTGAATTCTAGCATTATCTTCCCAGATATCTTCACAGATTACTCAATTTAGAGTCACTCAGAAAGTAAGTATGCCTTACATCCGCCATAAAGATGACAGATAAAAATTTAAACTATGATGGAGTCTCATCCTGGTTTCTGCAGAAAGTTCAGCTGATTCATCTCCCATCTAAAAGTCATGGCCAAGATCAGGAGTGAGCAAAGTACTCTTTTTGTAAATGAAGTTGTATTGGAACACAGACACATTCGTTTACCTATTATCTATGATTACCTTCAAGCTTCAATGGCAAAGTTGAGTAGTTTAACCAGAGAGACCTACAGCTGCAAAATCCAAAATATCCACCACCAGGCCCTTCACAAAAGAAGTTTGTCAACACCTGGCCTGTGTCAGAATCCAAAGTTTTACTCAACCAAAGATAAAGCGCATCTTTGCAGGTTACCTTGATAAGCAGGTATGGTGTCACTAGTTTTTCTTGTTTTTTCCTAGTCTTATTCTTACTCTGTTGTTGTGTGGGCAGTGGCACACACACAGCTACTACAACCTTGGTTTGCTGGGCTCAGGCGATCCTTCCACCTCAGCCTTCCAAGTAGCTGGAACTATAGGTGCACACTACCATGCCCAGCTTTTATTTTATTTTATTTTTTTTGAGTTGGAGTCTCACTCTGTCACTCAGACTGGAGGGTAGTGGCATGCTCCCGCAGCCTCGACCTGCTGGGCTCCAGTGATCCTCCCACCTCAGTCTTCCAAGTAGCTGGAACTACAGGCGTGCGCTACCACGTCCAGCTAATCTTTTTGACTTATTGTAGAGATGCGGTCTCGCCAAGTTGCCCAGGCAGGTCTCGAATTCGCGGGCTCAGGCAATTCACTCACCTCAGCCTCCCAAAGTGTGGGATTACAGGCTGAGCCACCAAGCCTGGCCCAGCTTTTTTTTTTTTTTTTAATTGTAGAAACGAGGTCTCACCAAGTTGCCCAGGCTGGTCTTGAACCCGAGTTCAGGCAACCCTCTCACCTCAGCCTCCCAAAGTGCTGGGATTACCGGCTTTAGCCACCACACCCAGTCAATGCCACTAGTTTTAAGGGCGTTTAGGGGTTTAGTTTTAAAAGTTAACTATCGGTATCTCAGAAACAGAGAGTAGATTAGTAGCTGCCTGGGACCCTGGTAGAAATAAATTCACTGTGAATAGACAGAAGGGAGACAAAAATCTTCTAGACCTGAATTACAGTGATGGCTTCACAATTTAGGTATACTAAGAACACTTGCTAACAATCACTGCATTATGCACTTAAAATGAGTCAGTTTATGGTATGGTACTTCAGTAAATCTTAAAAATTAAAAAGAAAAGTCAGACACCTATATACTTGTACTCTGTCATCTAAGACCTAAAATTTAAGGTACGATTTGCAATAAAACACTAAAAATTCTTTCAGACAAGTGTCTAAGCTTTAAAGAGTTAGCCTTTGCTGGGCATGGTGGCTCACACCTGTAATCCCAGCACTTTGAGAGGCCAAGGCAAGAGGATTATCTGAGTCCAGGGGTTCAAGAACAGCCTGGGCAACTTGGTGAGATCTCGTCTCTACAATTAAAAAAAAAAAAATTAAACCGGGCTCAGTGGCTCAGCCTATAATCCCGTGCTTTGGGAGGCTGAGGTGAGTGGATTGCCTGAACCCGTGGGTTTGAGACCCACCTGGGCAACTTGG